AAATTTGATTTCCCTTCCTGTTATCTCTGAAGCAATGGTTTGTTTCCCTATAGCACATACTGCAAGACAAAAGACAGCTTCAGTTTATCCAAAAGCATAATTGGATTACTGCCCTGCAAAACAGAACACACACATTATTGCCATCATAACAGAAGTATACAAATATTATCTTATTAATAAAAATAAGTTTCCCTTATGACCCAGTAACAGGTCAAGACCACAAGGATACAAAATGAGTTTGAGCCGCTTTTTTCTCATTTTCCTTCTTACCAAGTTTCAGAACAGAGGTTTTGAACTAATCTGCACAGAGAACTGAAACAGATAACTGAATTAATCCTCTAAAAACAGTTAAGAAAGGAGTTTAAGTCTTTGAAGAACAGAAGACTTAATATAATTACAGTTCACATCAAGTTCTGCTCTGAGACTGTCAGTGATGTTTGCTATCAATAATAAATTAGGCTTGACTGAAGGCCTTATCTTCTCAATGTTAAACTACTATATATTACATACATTTCAACAATATGTAGTGAATGCATAAGTACATTTCCTTGCTGAGTTTCAGGGATGCATTTTATACTGAGACTTTGAAATAGTAAGAATGAAAACCTGGGGTTAGATTTCTTTTTCATTTCAGGACAACAGACAACATACTATTATGAAAATTACCTGTGCTGACATTTTCATCTGCTGGTGTTTTTCTGTGTTTTCTGTCTTGAAGGATGGTGGTTTGATGCATGTGGTCCTTCTAACCTCAATGGAATGTATTACCCATTACGGCAGAACAACAACAAGTTCAACGGCATCAAGTGGTACTACTGGAAAGGCTCCGGATACTCTCTCAAAGCCACGACTATGATGATTCGACCAGCAGATTTCTAAATGCTTTTGCATTATGTGAATTACGTATTGTATAGTCCTCAAAGACTTCATTTGCCAAGCATGTAAACACACAACTGAAATTTGTCTTATTTTCAAGCCCAGAAAACATGCACTGGTGTTCTGAGGGGATGAGTTCAGTACAATTCCTGAATTGCAATAGCCTTGATCAGCTAAAGCTCATGTTATCCAGCCAGACACGAAGTCAGAAGCATCAAGCTGGTATCACAGCAATTTGGCCAAACGACAAAAAAAAAACCATCCAAGAAACTGTCAGACAACTTAAGGACTGTGTTTTACTGATCATTTATGTTATGTATGTGTTAGTAAATAACTGGAACTGTGAAAAATACCTAAAATAGTTTTAGAAATACGCGTTTTGCCTCACCATTGAACTTTAAACATTACTCCAATATAAAACACTTAACTAGATCTAGAATTATTTATCTCTGTGTCATGTTTGCCTTTTATGTACATAAAACCTCCTATCCTGTAATTAGCTCAATATTGTAGTTAAAGAACATATTTTTTACCCCCATAGTCTCCTAAACAACTTTGTACACTTCTTCAGGGATTTTTTCCAATAGCCTGTATTACTTTATTTAACAGAGGACAAATAACATTTAAGTACTTTGCATTTATTCTTGGGAAATATCATGTACAAAAGTCACAATTTCTTTCCGTTTTTACTTATTACAGTCACTACCTTAAAGTTACAAAAATCCCTGCAAATGACTATATAGTACATGTTTCTTTATATATTTATGAGGATTGCACTTTTTTCCTTTCCTTGTCATTTACCTGTAAAATAACTGATCAATATTTTATAAACAGAGACAACGGCATTAACAGCAGATGTCTGGGTGTCTATGACAATCAGTTATCACCTGGTGCTGTAGCACATCTATAAGTTTTGTAAAAATAACCTAACTGAAAAACATATGCATGCTCTTTGATACAATTCAATTTATGCTCATGAGTTATGATACAAATTACTACATTTTAAAAACAGGAAAAAAAATCCGAAAGTTACCAAAGGTCATACTGTTGGGTTTTTTTCAGTAAGGTTGGAACTTCTCCCTAGAAATTTTTTGTGGGTGGGCCCTCAATGTATGTTGAGGCAATGTGAATAAATTACTCTACTGGGTGATTTTTGTGGTGTGTTTTTTTTTTTCTTTCTTTTTTTTTTTTTTCCCCAATACGCTTTGAAATAGTGTATTGTACATTGCAGTTCAGATTGAAAATATAGTTTTTCATAAATCACACACAGTAACTTTGTGCAGATTTCACCCCAAATTAACTTTGGGGTTTACTCTTATGCTTAGTCTTTGCCTTAAAGTAATACTTTTATATATTTTTAAGTTCAGCAGATTACTGAATTAGTTACAAGACAAGAACATATGCCAGAGGAAAACAAAAGCCCCAGTCACAACATTTCTGGAGACTTACTTAACCAAAGTTATTGTATCTTAAAAAAATAAATTATTTTGAGAAAGATGAAGAAAACTCTTCATTTCATACTGACCGTCATTAAAGCACAACACCACAATCCTTCTTCACTGAAAATGTGTCAGTAAATGGTAGTAGAGACAAGACATACTTCTATATTACTTCATGATCCGATTTTAAATAAACAGAATAAATGTAAATTAAGTAATCATCTGAAGAGTTGCATAAAATAATCTGAATGTATTTAAGACTACTGTTTAAGTGTTTCTCCCAGCAAACTCTTAAGGATGCACATATCCAAAGTAAAAAAATACTTCACAAAGCTGATTTCATGGATTTCTAAGAAAAGTCTCAAAGACCAAGTCTAGCAGAGGACCACCAAGCTAGTAAAGGAGTTAGAAATACCAACAAGCACGCATACCAAGAGAGGCCAGGAAAGCTGGTATATTTCAGCCTAAAGAGAAGGGGAAAAAGAGACCTTACTGCTGTCTAGAGCTGTCTGATTGAGGACACAGAAGACACAGCCAGTTCCCTCAGCATCACAATGGGACAAGAGACTGGGACAAGAGACAGGAAACACAAGTTGAACCAGGAAACTGGATTTTCTTTTCAATGTGTTCATTTATTATCATGAGGGTGGAATGGAGAAGTCCCTTGGAGTACAGCACTGGATTAGACAATCTTCAGAATTCCCTTCTAATCTAAAATATTTGATGATTCCATGAATAGTAATGCTGTGTTGGGATTACTGTATCTCCTGCTTCACCACATTTAATCAGACAGTTAATAAAAATACTACTACTACAAAAAAAAAGCTTCTTAAAAACCATTATGGAAACTGGCACAGTATGAAAACTCAACCTGGCAAGTGCTAGCTTTTGGTGACATTAACTTTCATTATTTTAGTAAGAAAACACCCTGTGTCAGGAATAATAAAATATTGCATTGTTAGCTTTGATTTGCTGGAAAAAAAGTCTGTAAAGCTTCTGGCTTTTTGATGACTATACTGGGAAAGTCATTGAAGATACTGATGTAGACATTGAATGGATTTAATTTTTTTTTAATTTATCAACACAAATGTAAAATGAGATTGCATGGCTTATACTGCGAACAGCAAAGTTAAGTGAGAGAAGGGCATTCTGGAAGAATTGCAGTAATAGGAAAAAGAAGGCTGCAACAGCTGCTTTGGACTTGGTACAGACAATTATAACAGCAACCTAACCCCTTCTTTGAATTCCTTCATGTAATCAAATAAACAGTATATGCAACTCAAAGTCTCTTCCATTTTCTCTTAATACTTCTTAGGAAGCAGAAAAGAAATAACAACAAAAGGAATATAAACACCATTTGTGCTGAAATAACACATGTATCTTTAAAAATAAGGCATCTGTTAGAGTAAGAAACCAGAACGACTCAAGAAGGGAATGATGGAAATACCACCTTGGACACTGACTTTGTTCCTCCACAAGAGGAGTGCACTGCAAAGATTCTCAGCACAAACATAACCTCCTTCAGTTTTATCTCCTCACCAACTCTCAAACCCTCCTTACTTCTGCTTTAGGAATAAAAACTGAAAACAATCTAAAACACAACCCCATCAGGAATCACTTCCAAAGAATGTAAATTGTTACTGATAGCATACATGGTTATTAAACAAGGTAGTCTTGACAAGAAACAGAAAACTCAAATCAGCTTAATCTGAAGTACTGTGTTCTTTTTTTCTTCATACAAATACAGCAGGCAACAAAAGAACATGCTCGTTAAGTTTTACTTAATATATTTGCTATATAAAAAAAAAATCTACTTTCTCGATTTCTTTGGGCTTTGAGGACACTTTGAGAACATGCAACTTAGGAAATAAATTATAGATTTAGAAAGAATGCTAAAACTTCAGTTCTTAACAGTTAATAAAATTACAGAAAAATAAATTTAAACCCCAATTAAATGTTCTTTCTTCAAAGACTGTATGAGATTTTGAGAAACAAGGAACAGATGATAATATATTTAACTAGCTGCTACAGTATAAGAGGAACTGTGGAACTTTTTTCATCAAAACTACTAGGAGTAATTGACTAGTAACCTGCTAGAATTCTACTGGGTTTAAGACCAAAATAAAAATCACTGTTTAATCAATTACAACACACAAAGTGTAGATACGCTTTGTAGATAGAAATGCCCCCACATACACACTTCAACAGTAGTTCACAATTCAGTACTTGAGAATGATCATTACAGGCAGGAAAAATTCTTCATTTAACCTACTTACTAGTTTTAGAAGCCCGCAGTAATTTTCCATTGCTAAAGGAATTTCTGGTCTGAAAATATTGAGTCTATGGCCTGAACAATATCCTCTTAGGATAACATGCCTCTCCAGTTTATAAGTACAGATAGAAATAAATGCCACAAATAATATAAGGACATTAATACTTAAGCAAGAAGCTAGTTGATTCAGACATTAATTGGCGAATCAATTTTTTGCACTTTCCATGGATACCAAAGATTTTGCACACACTCTTCAAAAAGTAGTGATGAAAGAGATAAAAACCTCCTTGCCATATTTGGTTAAAAGGTATTTTTCTAGTAGGCCTTCTTGTTCACAAAACCTTTTCAGAGGGACAATCATTTTCCAGATAAACAAATGAAAGTTCACAAGCTTAAAGGGCTATTAAACTTACAGGAGCTGCAGGGAAGGTGGATGAAAGCTCATATGGCTCCTCTGAGATCCAATGGCCCAATTCCAAAGACCACAGAACCTAAAAAAAATTAAGTGGTAAGTAGAACTCTTAAAATTTCCAAAATAGCAAACTCTTTGAACGTGTGATTAGAAGTAACAGTGCAGGTGCAGTTGGTTTGCTGTTTCATTTACTCAAACCAAATTATTCACTCAAAAAGCAAGCAATCAGAAAGATACAAATTTTAGAACTGAAACAAACCACTAAAATATGGAAGTATTTCTATACATAGCTACATTAAATTTTAAAACCTTGTGAGGACACTAGAAAAGTCAACTTTTTGCATCATGATACATAAAATCAAATATTTGAAAAAGGAAGTCATACTATATCAGTTTTCTCCTCTTGGTTCAGCTAATCACTGAACTTTATGAGGTTTGTGTTGACCCATTTCTCCAGCCTGTCAAGGTCCCTCTGAATGACATCACCCACCTAGAGTGTCAGCCCCTCCTCACAGTTTAATAACATCTACAAACTTGCCCAGGGTTAACTCTTCCCCATCATCTAGATCATAAATGAAAATGTTAAACAGTATTAGACCAGAATAAAGCCCTGATATTGACTGGGATTATGCAACTGTTGTATGCAGTCCACATTACATATATAAATCAGCCTGCAAAGAAAAAAAGCTCAATTTCATCCTCTTTGGTATCCTCCTTTGTCAACATCACATTCTAGATGTCGCAAAAAATTATAACAAAAAGCAGCACATCTTCAAACTTACTGTTGAACTTTATTAGAAAATTCCAAAGAAAATTATATTTAATTTTAGAAAACGTACAACCAAATATTGAAAATGCAACAGCTGTACAAAAGGAAAAAATAATTTCTATACTCATTATAACATAGCAAAACTAAAAACAAGAGTTAAGCACATTAATACATCAATGATCTTTAAAAAATATTCAAATATACTGCTATGTTTAGCCAAGAAAAGTATAGTAATTTCTTAAAAACCTACAGTTAAGACTGCAACTTAGGATTTTAAGTGATATGTATAGCTGTATATATTTATGGCAAATTAAAGAAACTTGTTAGTCCAAGCCATCACAGAAAAAATCAATTTTAACTGAATGAAGAAAATTGTAACTTCTAATATAACTCTTAAAGACATGTTGCATGAAAAAAATGTCTTCATAAATAATCTTGAGCAGGAACAGATGTACCAGGCTGTATAATGTGTACACCATGTCCTTAGAGTACCAAAATGATGTTTGTACCAAGAGTAGCTGGCAAACAACCCAAACAGATTAAAAGAATAAACTCAAAATATTAGTTATTATTAAGGAATCCCATTTAATTTCTAGGCCAATTTACAGTAACAACCTCTATCAATCCTTATAGTATTTACAGAATTTTGTTTAGAAATGAATTTTGTTTATCTTAACAAAAGATGGATTAATGCTTGTCTATCATGGTTCTGGAATTGAGTACAAACACATGGTATCTACTTCACCAGATACAAAGTAAGTCAGATACTGAGTTCATGAACAGGTCCTGAAGTAAATAATTAGATCAGCAGTCACTAAAGCATTCATGAACACAAAGGCAAGAGCTCTCCATTCTGTTACTGAATGTTTTCTTCTGACTTTGGCAAATTTTCAACTAGTATATTTTCATAGCAACACCAAAAAAAAATGCTTGAAATTCATGTAAGCTGAAAAAAAATGTTATGATTTGCAATACTATTCTTGAATAAACTACTTTTTCTTGTTAAGTCAGTAGTGTCTTCATATTCAACAGTTCCTTAGAATGTGGAAAAGGACTAAGAAAAGATTAAAATAATTATGAATATAACAGGGTTTATATTGAGAAGAAAGAGCTATCTACAAGTTTTCAAATATGCAGTTACAAAAGATTCAGCTTAAAATGAAATGATAAAGCAATGCAGTATGGATCAAGCATGCATGTTGGATAGAGTATCAGAAGATAGGAAAATACAGTTGATAAGATTGAGATATTAAAAATGCATCAGATTCTAGTAGAATGCTGTCTTTCTGGTAATGAAGGGCCTGAGAAAGGAGGAAGTAGGGAGGGAAGAGGAGAGTGGGAAAAGCATAGTTTTTCTGTGGAATTCTTAAAACTTTAAAGAATGAGGGATACAGGCGATCCTGTGATGAGTCTAAAAGGCAGACTGTAAGACAGCAGGAGAAAATTTGACATTCATTCATAGAAGTGCAGTGCATAAAATGGGCAATGACATTCAAGGACAACAATTGCCAGGATACTGATTATCCAAATACTGCCTTTATGTACAAAGCTAAGAAACCATTTTAGTGGATTTTTCTGGTAGTTATCTACACTTCTTGCTATCTTAGTAGTTATTTGAAGCTTTTTCTCAGAGAAAAAAACAGCTTTCACGTTTAACTACCCTGTTATGAGAAAGTAATTTATAGCAAATATGTTGTTACTTGCTTAAAATTCCATAAAAGCTAAGCGTGGGACAGATATATCAATGTGTTCCATTCATAGATGCAGAGAATCATACAGTTGGTGAGGCTGGAATAGATCCCCTGTTAAAATATGTTCCTCTTGATGTAGCCGAGGATGCTATTGGTCTTTTTATGTCATATTACTGGATCATTAAGATGCAAATCTCTTTATTCCAAGGGAAACTAATCATTAAGAACTTCTAAAAACTCCAAAGTATACCATAACAGCTTCTTCAGATTACTACATGAATAACATGTAGGATAAGCTTCACTGGCAAATGCCAGACATCTTGAAGATAAAAAGGCAACAGGAATTTATTTTGTTTTCAGCCCAATAATTAAATTTTAAAGCATTTATAAGAAAAAAACCCAAGACATTTAAATTTATTTTACAACCCTTTTCTGTATAAGATGAAGAGCCATTTCCACATACATTTCAACAGGTATGCTTTACAGCTCTGGAAACATGAAGAAAGATGAAAAACTGTCATCTGCAATGTTAGATTGAGTGGTTAATCTCTGTTATCATAGTAATTGAGGTGGTTTAATCCTGGGCTGACAGGTAAACTCCTCACCCAGTAACTACTCACTCCTGACCTCAACAGGACAGGGGGTGAAATTGGAAGGGCAAAAGCAAGAAGAAAACCACCTTGTTTGTTAAAATAAAGACAGTAAATAAACGAAAGGAGAAAGTTTATGTAACCCCAAATGATGTAAAAGTAACCATTCCTAACAGTAGACAAATGGCTAGTCAGATTCCAAGCAACAGCTGCTTTGGAAAAACTCCTCCAGCTTTGTAACTGAGCATGAAGTCATATGATGTGGAAAAATCTCTTTGATAAGCTTTGCTCAGCTTTCCCATCTGAGTCTCCTCCCAGCTTCTTGTGTACCCCTAGCGTACTTGCTGCAAGGGGTTGACTGAAACACAGAGAATACCTTGATGTTGTGTAAGCACTGTTCAACAATAGCTAAAACACTACTGGGTTATCACCATCTTTTGGTGGCCAGACTCAAAAAAAAAAGCACCATACAGGCTACAATGAAGATTATTAACTCCATTCCAGCTGGACCCAGTACAGTAATTCATTATTATCTTATCTTTATGGCAACAGTCTGGTAAATTTAAGTCATAGTCCATGAGAAATTCTGAGCATATTACAGTGATTATTTGATCTGGATATCTTGGAACCATTTTTGTAAATTACAGTCTCCATGCTACTTACTAGAAATAGTTTTCCACTTTTTTTTTTTTTTCTATTTTGAAGTTCTCACACTATGTAGCAAAATATCTAACAATTCCACTTCATTTTACCAATGCTGAACACAATACATAATGGAAATATATTATATCGGTATATAAAAAATTTAACCTGAATAATGTGACTTGGCTAATGTTAAGAAGGCATGGTTTGTTTAGCTTCTAATCTGTCAAGAAATTATGAGACAAGACTTCAGGTTAGACCAAATATCGAAAGACTAAGTCATGGTAACAGAGCTGTACACAGCAAAATTTCCTCTAATTGAGCTAACTCTGGGTAAGCCTGAATATCTGGCCATTGCACCACTGTACACAGCACGGACACTTGTTTAAGTCCATTGTGATATGGTTCATATTTCAGCTATACAACATAAGTTTAATTGATTCTGTAGTCAAATTGGAAAATACTTCTTACCCATTCATAAGAAACAATCCAACACCCACGAGCAATTCCCAGCATAACATTCAAGGTGCGACGAGGACTCCCTGTCACTACATGACTTGTTGTTTCACATACATCATCTGAGAACAAAAAGTCTCCAAGCTTATTCACCACCTGAATTACTGTACTTTGTTTCCTAAAAAGAAAAAAAAGAACAATGTTGAATGGATCTGCAGAATTCTAAAAGCATATACATATCATATAAATTAACTCAAATCCATTTAATTATTTCCTCACTAATAATTTATTATCCGTTTCTCACTGCTAGCCCTGAATTCATTAGCCCTCCCACAGACTGCAGACCCTTTACTGTCACCACAGTCATATCTACTTGCACATCAAAGCTCTTTTGCCCCCCACATCTATCTTGTCTGTTTAAATAGAAGCTTTTGAGTCAGGAATTATTTAACATATTGTTTGTGTACAATGCCTAGCACTATAGAGCCTTCTTCTTGGTTGATTTCCTAGTATTACCAAAAAAGTATTACCAGGAAATGTTACATTTAGACATAGCACTATTAGGACCTTTTCATTAGGAAGGACCAGATAAATAAAATGCTGTGTCTACACATAGGGGCTGGCCCTGCCTAGACTGTGTACTCAGGGGACAAATTTCCATGCTCTACTTAAAGCTTTTCTTCTTTCCTGCATCTACACAAAGTTCTTTAAAATGAGAGGGAAAAGTTCTGTTGTCTGTCATACAAATTACAGTGAAAACTCACTAGTTCATACTTTAATCAGTTGCAAAAATTACTGGATGCAAATTTACAGCAAAATTTCATTCAATTTGTCATTCAGAAAAACAAATAGCTGCTGGCAGTGCATCAGCAAGCAGCATTTAATATAATCTCAAACCCCAAGGCCATAAGGACACTGAACCCATGATCTTTACATCTAAATTCTAATGAACCACTGTTGAAGCTGTAGCTATTGGGTAGCAGAATTGGCTTTTGGCCATTGTTTTGTACACTTTGAAGGACTGTTTTCTGTTCTTCAGTTTATTCAGGAGCAGTCTCCTCTCTTCACCCATTTATGGGCTGATGAATGTCTACAACTGTAGATATACAAAAGCATCTTCTTGATGAAGTTCTGAATTTTTTATTTAATGAAATAGTAATTGGCTAGTAGGCAAAATCAGCAATGATCTCTTTCAACAAAAGAACTTCTCCCTCAGCATCTGCCAGGATTTGCCCTCTCCTTTTAGGCAGATCAGTCTCTGTTCTCCAACACTCCTATCTGCACTGCAGCCATTCTCTCTGCCTCCCCCATAGTGATCCTGTATTGCATGACTCACAAAGTGCACTTTACAGCCTTGGTGTTACTAGCATCCAGCCACATTAAATAAAGAAAAGTCTCAATTCCATTTTATGTTTCTGACATGTATTAGTATACTTGTTAATAGCTATTGACAACCATTTACAAAGAACTTGCAAAAGAACAGCCACTAAATGCTGTTTCTTAGTACTTTTATCTATGTAACTGTCAAGAGTTTATTACTTCAAACCTGAAACTGATTTGGGGGTAGCAGAAATATCTTGAATTTTGAATAGGAATTCAAGAAACTGCAAGCAAGTGTAGTATAAATTATGGAATTGTGTTTTTGTTGGATGTTCTTTATGCTGTAAGACTTTTAAGAGAATGATAAGAGCATGCCAGAAAATTATTAACTCTTCTCCAAAATATGCAGTGGCAGCTGCTTCTAATGTTTTGAAACAAAGTGGCTAAAAAGCCTTCAACTGATACTTCTTCAGCAACTACTTACATGAAAGAAAACATTTTGAACTGATGTTGCAGATTATGACTTTTTAAATAGCAAAAATTAAAATGTATGGGAAAAATGAGTCTTGGGCTAAAAGTCTGAGCCACTTACTACATAAAATTCCTTTTTCAAAACTTGGTTAAGACATTAGTTTCATTGTTCTGAAGCTCTGTTGAGCTCACCTATGGAATAACTACTTCAGTCTGCACCATAGCAACAGAAACATGCACACACACTGTAGATAGCAACAGCATATCCATGTATGTACGTGTATTCAACTAGTATATAGAATGAAATTAAGTATCTTGACATACAGTCCAAACATATACATTCATTTTGTATAGGCATACAAGATTATCAACATTGAAGTTTAAATGGTGTGCTTACTAAACAGTCAAAATGTTTAATACTTACTCAGAAGACATACTTGTCATAACTAGTGTCCTTGTTGGCTAGAGATGAAAAAGAGACAAGAAAACAAAAAAATCTGAAAAATTTTCCCCTTTAAAATAAATGTTAAATTAGAAATTGTTCCATTAAAATGATTAAACTACCTCATAATTACAGTATCTCCTGGCAAAAACGCTGTACTAACTAACACGTATACTAGAAAGAGTAAATTTTGAGAACAAGGAAGGAAGGAAATCCCTTCATGACATCTGACATCAAAGCATCCAATATAGCAGAAGACAGGAATGCAACTTTTCATTAGTTAAAACAAAAAGCAAAAGATTTCCAGCATGGAATGTCACAGAAAAAAAGCATACCATTTGTCTCCTGTCTTTTCCTCCTGAAAGGAAAAGCCATCTTATCTTCAAGAAAGAAAATCTGTAATTTAAAATTATTCCAATTTCTTTGAAAAGAACGGCAGAAGCTGGCTGAGATGCTACAGAAATTAGAGTTTTTTATTGTAAAGTATAACTTTCTTAGTTTTATTTTTGTATGTTAAGTCCAGGTTTTAAGTAAACAATCTTTCATTCTTAAATCTTGTTTAGTGAATAAAAGCTGTCCAAGTAACATAACACACAAGCTATACTCAAACAGTACAGTGATCCTTAAACCAGCAATTCTGAGACAACTTAAAAAGCACCCCTCCTTCACCTGCAATACCCCCCATAGCTGATGTGCTAAGTAGGAGTGCTTACCCCGTTTTACATAAGCCTTGTAATAATTAGTACTGAAGAATTCTATGAATTCTAATTTTATTAATTCAGAAGAGAAAGAAGTATCCTTTGGTCAGCAGCAATAGCCATGAAAGCCCCCAGCATGCACGAAGGTAGGACAGGACACGAATTTCAGCAGTATCAGAGAAATACATGAATAATATGGTCATAAAAAAAATTATCTAAGAAGATGTTTTTAAAATCTTAGCTAAGAACTACTTGTAGTTACATGAACATGCACAAGTACAAACTTACACATCTTAATTTTGCAAAAAAAATTGATTGCCTTTTATACAATGATTTCAAACTCTTAATGATTTTCAGAATCAATATATGACTTTCAAATTATTTATCTAGTTAAGTATTGCTTTGTAAGAAATAACAATTTTCATTTCTGGTCCCCCAATATATCATCACAACCACAAGCACTAAGCTCCCAAAGTGTCTGCTAAAATTCAGTTACCTTTGAGTAATGTACTGGGACCACAAAAATATTTTCAGTTGGTCTACAGTGGTAGTACAGGCCAAAAAAAGACTTGAGGGCAACTCATTTTACCCAGTAATGAATCACAGAACAGAAGAGAGAATATAATCTAATGAATCTTCATCTGTCCTCTCTTAACAGTACAGAACTACTCTCTATATTAAGTATTCCAGCAATTTGTCACATTTAAGTATAGAGTTCCTTGGAATTATCTCTGTAAACTAATAGACTGTAGATTAATAGTGTGCACTACGGTTGTTCATTACATGAATGATATTTGCATAAATAAAACACAATTTGGATACCATTAACAAGCTAGACTACTACATAAGTAGTAGTATTTTCAACATACATGATAATTTAGTTCTGCTGTTGGGTAAATTTGAAAAACATAAACTGAATATACTATTTAAGTTTTCAGAAGCAACATAAACGCAGCATTTTCAATATTTTTTTTTTAAGAATGATAAATGTGTTGTAAGCTATACAATACTCAGTACTGAAAAGATATACAATGTGAAAATGTAAAAGCATTGATAATAGAATAAAACTTTAAATAAGGGATGGATGAAACTTTTATGTTGAAATATTTCTTTGAAAGAAATTCTATGCAGTATTTTCTGAAATATAAGTTTCTAAATTCTAAATTATTGCCAGTAATACTCACTGATGATACCTTAGCCTACTGTTAGCCTGTAATAAAAATTTGTTGTATTCCTAGCCAAAATATTTTCTACTGCATTAATTTCAGTTCTAAATAAGCAGTCACATTTACTTGGTCTTGGAAGTTCCAAGATCTTCACAGCTTCAATTCAACATGACTGTTATATGCAAAGAGTTTGAGCAAAAATAACAAAAGTGTAACTATATATGTAAAATATATCTATCATAACTTTAGTAACAATCAGTATTAAATATTAAGCAATATAAACTTGAAATTTGAGTACATACACTAAAAAAGACATCTAACAAGACACTGAGTAAGGGCACAGGTTAGGTCAGGTGACTGACATCAGACACGGGGCCTCATAAAGCAAAAATGAGGACATACCTCATACTATCTTAATACACATTGTTGGATTTGTATAAACTCCTGAATATTAAAGATGCTAGGATATGACAGCCTGGGAAGCGAGGTTTTACTCTTCTGTGTCCAATTTTTGTGGGCTGAAAACCTCATATATGTAAAAAAATATGTTTCAGCATTGTCATGATGTTCTCCTTCAGGATCTGAAGGAAAGCCAAACTGCCATCACAATCTCTTTGGCTAAAAGTCTAGAGTTACATTCACACAGAAGAATCACACTAGGTTCTTGGGCTCCTTGTATAGTACTAGTTCCAAAGCCAGATCCTGACGTGCCTATTCAGAATGTGCAGAAAAATAGCCGTCCTGACAACTTTTTATAAATGAAATGTCATCGAAGTACTACTAATCAGACCATTGCTTTTGCCAAAGTTGGGTTAAAAAATATTACTATAAACCAAGGCTACAGCAGCTTGAGATCCTCCAGTTGCTTCTTCAGCCCCAGAGCAGTAATGTTTGTTCCTTAATACCTTATCTATAAGGGAGAAGAAATACTGGATTCATAAAAATTGGAAAACCTGTAGCCTGTCCTCCTATTACCCTGCAAAGTCAGCTTTTGGATTGTAGCTTTTATGCTACAACACATTGCATGCAAGATGGTTCAGTGAGTTTTCTGGGCAAATGTTCTGTCAGTGTGCTTCAAAGTGATTTAAAGTCTCAAGAATACAGAAGGATGCATCCAAAGGTAGAAACTGAAATAAATTTTAATTCTTCCAGACTATTAGTTCATATTTACTGAGAACTGATATTTTTGCAAGTCAGAGTTAATTTTCTAGGCAGAGATTTTGTTTTACTGCTTCAGTTAGACAAGCAGTCCTCTTTAATTACAAGTTACTGAGCAGAAAATTTAGCCAAACTATGTTTTCATTTTCAGTTGTGTATTTTTCAAGTTAATTGCTTCCCCTCCATGCTATGCAATTTTTCTTCTATGTTCTTTGTGTCTGTTTTATTTCACGTGTTGCTTTTACTAAAAAAAAAAAAAAAAAGTGAGCATTTTCTTTTCTGACCAGCAAAAAGACATCTGGTGAACATCATTATGAGTTCTAATGCACATTTGTAGCAGGATTATTATTAATAAAACACTGGAAAAGGTGGTATTAAGTTAACTGGTCCTTTTATTTCATGTTAATCCTCAAGAGCTGTATATCTATACTATAAATCAGAACACACTTCCTCCTGAATTACTTTTCGGTCTGGAATACAGGCTGTGTTATAAATGACATACTTGAGCTTTCCTTTATCTATTTCTTAGGAGCACAGTTGCATGAAGTATTTCTTTAGAGTCTGCCAACAACAAGATTTTTCTAAGTCATCTGAAATATAAAACATGCATTTCAGTAGCTCAAAGGAAATAGTATTTGTAAATCTTCCCAGTACTTAAAAAGACAATGTGATACTTCCTGTATGCTAACTGAACTACACTACAGAAGAGGCATCCAACCTCAAAATGTATTATTTCTTTCTTCTAAATCTGAGCAGGTGTTTCTTGGAGTCCAGGCTTGTACAACCCACTTTCCAAGAAAATGAACTCAAAGTGTGTTTCCTTAAGAATGTAATGAGTTGTTCATCAGTGACAAGTAAATTAAAATGTGACCATAAAATATGTTTTTCCAGGCCAGTACTCAAGAGTAAAGTGCATTCCT